TAGTCAGAGAAAGACAAATATCAAATGACCTTACTCATATGTGGAATTTAAGATACAAAACAGATGAACATAAGGGAAGGGAAGCAAAAATAATATAAAAACAGGGAGGGGGACAAAACATAAGAGATTCTTAAATACAGAGAACAGAGGATTGCTGGAGGGGTTGTGGGTGGGGGGATGGCTAAATGCACAATGGGCACTGAGGAAGACACTTGTGGGATGAGCACTGGATGCTATACTTAGGGGATGAATCACTGGATTCTTCTCCTGAAATTATTGCACTATATGCTAACTTGGATGTAAATTAAAAAGTAAAAATAAATTTAAAAAATAAAACAATGGTAATTAATATATGATTTTTCTAAGTATGGTTTTGGAACTTGAGTAATGATCATATGGTTTCTTGTGTTATGAATTACATAAATAGAATTTTGTTCTGGCACTAGGTGGCTCAGTTGGTAGAGTATGTGATTATTGACCTTGGAGGCATGAGTTCAAGCCCCACATTGGGCACATAGATTACTTAAAAAAATGAAATGTAGAATTTTTTTTGTTGAACTACTTTGCATTCCCTGGGCTACATTCTTCTTGGCCATGGTGTGTTCACTACTCAGGTTATCAGCTGAGAGATTTGATTTGCTCTTCATTTGTTGGGGAATTTCCCAACTGTGAGTAATGTTGGTTTACAGTGCTTTGGACGAGGGGAATGTGTACGTGTGCATGTGTCTATATGTGCGTTGTCAGTGGTGTTAATTATCTGTCCCTATGAAACAAGCCACTCAACATATGGTGTCTTTATGCCACAACATTTTATTAGCTCTCATGATTCTGTGGGTTGATGGGGCTCAGCTGGGGCATTCTACAGATCTTACTTGTGTTCTGCACGCATAGTTAAGACATTGGAAGTGGGTGCTGCTATTTTTCTGAGAGGCTAGGCTTGGTACTGAACGAGTCCCTTCCATCACAGCCCACCAGTCAGCCCAGATGAGTGAAGGCACTGTGAACCCCACAAAGACAGGAGTACAGGGTGGCCACCACAGCCAGATTTGGTGTTAGTGTTCTGGTGTCTCAAATGAGTTGATGCTCATTCCTTTGTCTTTTTTTTTTTTTTTCAACGTTTTTATTTATTTTTGGGACAGAGAGAGACAGAGCATGAACGGGGGAGGGGCAGAGAGAGAGGGAGACACAGAATCGGAAACAGGCTCCAGGCTCTGAGCCATCAGCCCAGAGCCTGACGCGGGGCTCGAACTCACGGACCGCGAGATCGTGACCTGGCTGAAGTCGGACGCTTAACCAACTGCGCCACCCAGGCGCCCCTCCTTAAATGACGCCAGGCGTCATTTAAAAACAGAATTGTAACCTTAAAAATAGCTTTAATACTTACAGAACAATTTGGGTATGAATCTTTGGGGGAGAAATGTTGACCTTCGATAAATTTTTAAATTTTCTTTAATTTTTGGTCAAAGTGTTGACTTTTTCTTGAGTAAATTTTAGTTAATTGTATTTTTCCAAATCAATTTTAATCTGTATTTTGAAGTATATTGAAATGTTTTACTTTTCTGTACATATGGTCATTCCTAATATTATATATCTGCTTTCCCTTTTTTGTCTTAGTCATACAAGTTTTTTAAAAATGGTATCTATAATGATATGTATTAATTTTTCCAGATGTAGAGGGAGATGCAGATTTCAGATGATGTATTGCTTTAAACAATTTATATTATTTAGGATGGGTTGAATTTATTATTCTATTTTGTGATTTTACAAGAAACACTTAATATATTCACATGGTACAAAACATATGTGTATAGGGGCACCTGGGTGGCTCAGTCAGTTAAGCATCCAACTCTTGATTTCCACTCAGGTCAGCCACACAGTGTCTGATACTGAGCACAAAAGTAGGCATAGACAGTATATAAGTGAATAGGTATGACTATGCCATTCAAACTACAAAAACAGGCCATGAAGCTAACCTACAGTGTGTAGTTTGCCACCATTGTTCTTCTATTCCTTGACTTCTGTGATCTTCATTATTTCCTTTCTTCTGCTCACTTTGGGCTTCTTTGTTCTTCTTTTTCTAGTTATTTAAGGTGGAAGTGGAGGTCATTGATTTGAGACATTTTTAATACAGGAATTTAAGACTATGAATTTTCCACTAAGTAATGCTTTAGCTCCACACCTCAAATTTGCTAAGTTGTGTTTTCATTTCCTTTCAGTTCAAAATATTTTCTAATTTCTCCTGATTTCCATGAACTGAATAGTTCATGAATTATTTAACAGTGTATTATTGTTTCTAAATATTCGAGCATTTCCTAGATATCATTCCGGTCTTCATTCCTAATTTAATTCCATTGTGGTCAGAGAAAGTACTTTGTATGACTTAAATTGTTTTAATTTTTTTGTGACTTGTTTCAAGGTCCACAACATGGTCTATCCTTGTAAATATTCTAGGTGCACTTCTGCTGTTGTTGGAGACTATAAATGTCAATTGTTTGATAGTGTTGTTCATGTCTACTAGATCCAATCTCCTTGTTACTCCAGTCCCAGCCAGAAGTCCACAGTGAATGAAGAACTGTGCCCTTTGATGAGTTTTGACAAATGTATACAACCATGTAACTCAAACTATATTGAAACTATTTTAACAACTAGTAGAACTAGTTCCCATTCATTGCTCTTCTTTTTAAAATTTTCCATATTATTTTATTTGCTTATCTAGCTGTACATGTAAACTTTAGAACTGTCCAACTCTGGACAAGGGGTTGATTGGAGAAAGGAACACCCACTTGTGTTTTTATTGGAGCTATATTACATTAATCAGTTAAATTAGAAGAACCAACTTTATGTTGTTGAGTCTCCCTATCCAAGAACTGATCTTTCCATCTGTTCTGGTCTTTTTAAGTAGGCTCCATGCACAATGTGGAGCTTGAACTCACAATCCCCAGATCAAGAGTCGTATGCTCTGCCAACTGAGCCAGCCAGGCAGGCACCCCTAGTCCAGTCTTTTGTGTATTTCCATAGTGCTTTAAGACAGACAGAAGGAGACAGGGCACAGCAGCTTGAGGGTAGTGGCTGACTCCAGGAAGGAGAAGGAGGTTGACAGCAACAGAACAGGGGCTGCACCTCTATCTACATGTAGCAGAAGGATTTTAATACATCTAGTTGATGGGCACAGGAGTGTTTCTTATAAAACTATTTTTCTATTTAAAACATTTAATAAAAACTTAAACTTAGAAGTTAAAACAATTTTAATAGAAAAGAGTTTTTGTAAATACAGTGATTCTTCATTGTACAGTAGTTTATTCTCATAAACCAAATAACCATAACTTATGTATATTTTGGATATAAAACTAGACTTTTCTTTTTTCTTTACATATAATACAATTTCCAGTGTGATGACATTTCAATGAGGGAAAGATTGCATTCGCAATACCATCATCCCTGAGACCACAGACCTAAAATAAGCGCTCTCCAAACATCTTCCTGTGGTAGAGCAGTCCCTGAAGAGGGGGCTTCCCCTCCATTGTCTTTGACTGCAGGGTTGACAGTCTCAGCAAGGAGTCTTTCTAGAATGTTTGTACAGACACAGCTTGAGAATGCTAATGATCTAAACCCAAAGCAATAACAGTGAAAAGATGAAACTGTCCAGAGCCCTTATTTTTCATTTTACTCTCTGTAGCCAAGGTCAAAAGTACAACATTGAAATTGATTGATTTTACCATTTTTCTTTTAGTCTTACTTCACTGAAAGCTACCCATAATTGTTTCACCAATGAGTAGCAAAACTGAGAATTTTACCGGAGAAATTACCCAGGACTACTAATAAAAATGTAGTCTTTTCCAGCATGTCTATTTCCTGAGCAGCTGGCACAGTAGACATTTTTAAACGCGTGTAAGGTGAACAAGAAATCAGAAATCTATGTCCAAGGGTGCACAACCAATGAACGTTAGGATATTATGACATCATGGTGGCTTAATTTTAAAAGATATTCTTTCAAAATGAATTCCAGGAAAACAAGCAACCTTCACACAGAGAGGGAAGCTGAAGCGATCTTACTGATGAGTCTGTTGAGAGCTCTAACTTTTTCTTCCAGGATGCAGTTTTTCTTCTCAGCATCTCGTAGTTTCTCTTCCGTGACCTGAAGTGCCTTTGTCAGGTGAGCATTTTCCACATAGAGATCCTTGAGCAGCAAATGAGATTTTGTGTTCTTTTCAAACTAGGGAGGAGAGAAAAACCATACTTTACTATTATTCTAGTGCAGAAATGTTGCATGACAGCTTGCCCCTCCCACTCTTTCAAGTGTGTTTGGAACACAGTTCCAGGGTTTTTACATATCTCATACACAAACATTGGGTATAATGACAATTTTTATTAAACCTGGCATGAAAGATGAAATTTAAGTCAACTTTATGAGAGTTGATTTTACCATGAAATGAAGATATAAAAAAGATCAAAATCACCAGCCTTAAATTTTTTTTAACCGTTTATTCATTTTTGAGAGAGACAGAGTGCAAGCAGGGGAGGGGAAGAGGGAAAGGGAGACACAGGATCCGAAGCAGGCTCTAGGCTCTGAACTATCAGCACAGAGCCTGATGCAGGGCTTGAACTCGTGAACTGCAAGATCATGACCTGAGCTGACGTTGGATGCTTAACCGACTGAGCCATCCAGCTGTCCTAAAATCACCAGTCTTTAAAAAGGACTACTCAACATAACATAAAACATGTCATTCTGGTTCTTACCAGTGTGCTCTGCAGGGCCACCATGTCTCACAGGACACACTCTGACACTACATCCACCCTGGGAACCCCAAGTGCATGGGCTGGTCACCACACACGATAGCCATGGCGATGGGGACACAAGGCCACTCTAGTTATGAGTCCTTGTTCAAGATACAATGCCAACCGGGGTCCTAGCCTTGGGCTTCAAAAGTCAATACTACATTCATTCATTCAACAAGTACTGCCAGACATACTGCGCAATGATCTTGCTCTCAGGAGCACATATTCTGATGGAAGTGGACATGCCAGAAACAAATACATGGTGTGGAGGCATGACAAGTGCTAAGAGAAAACCCCACATAACCGAACTCAAGTCTGCCTGCCTGATGTACAGCAAACACAATCACTCAGCATGGAGTTATGTGTCAAGGAGAGATAGCCAAAGGAGGAGATGGAGATGGGAGGGCTGGACTCTAACCTGCCTCCCCCAAGGAGAAGAGTCAGGGATGTTTACAGGCAAACAAAAAAGATCTTGGTGAAAAGTTACAGCTGCACTTACTAGTCCTATTAACACTCAGGTTACTGGTTTCACCAGGAGGCGACAGATAGCTGAGGGAGTTCCTATTTTGGTTGGGGTGAATAGGGAAAGCTTCTCTGTCTGTTGACATTTGAACAGAGATCTGAACAAAACAGGGCAAGGAGCACTGAGCCTGTCTGGATGTGAACATTCCAGGCAAAGGGAGGAGCAGGTGCAAAGGTCCAGAGCCTGGCCAGGCTGGGGATGGCTGGAATGGCCAGAGACCTTCTCATGGCAGTGAGAAGCCCACTGAAAGGAAGTTACAGCTGACACGCTGGCTGGGTGCCACCGAGGGCTGGGGGCAACTAGATCCTGCAGAGCCTTGGAGGCCTCTGTAGGAACTCTGCCTGGTACTCTTAGGGCTGTGAGAGGCCTGGAGGGCTCCGAGTAGAAGGGCCAGCACCTCAACCATGTTGGGAAAGCACTGCTGCCACTCCTGCACTGAGAACATAGCCCAGGAGGAAACAAGGACACTGTAGGGCACAGAGGATGAGAGTGGGAGTGAGAAGAGGCTGGGTTCTGCATCCCTTCTGAGGCTGAGCTGGCGGGTTCACTTGCAGACACTGTGGGGGCATCCACCACAACACCAACATTTTGGACTTCAGCCAGTGACATGAGTGAACACACGGGAAGGCAGGTGAGGGTGTCCAGATAACCCTCTGCAGGTACTTTGGTAAAAAGGGGCAGAGGCAGGGCCAGGGCTCCTTTACCTTTGGATTCAGGTGGCAGTGAGGGCCTGGGAGAAGGGAGGGTCTGGGCGTTGTGGCACATGCACGGTCACAGGTGGCTGGTTCATCACAGAGCATGTTGGGTTCTGAGGTGAGGGTGGGGGGGGGGGGGGGGGGGGGGGGGGGGGGTGTAGGGCTGTGGACAGGACCTCACCGCACAGGGGCAGGTGTGCAGGAGCCACAGGATTTAACCAAGACTGAGGATCTGCCAGGCAAGAGGAAGCAAACTGTGGCTTTGTGTAAGAGAACGACCGTAGAAGGTAGTAAGTAGCCAGCGTCTGCAACACCCTGGAGAGTCAGGATGGCAGTGCAGAGAGGGAGCTGCAAAGCCAGGAGCATGGTCAGGGAGGGAGGTGTGACTCCTTCATCGGGACTCCACCCCAGTGGAATGCACAGGTGTGCCTGACATCTGTTTAGCTCAGTTCAGGAGCCCTCTAAACAGACTTGACTACTATAATGAAAATATTTCTGCAGACTCTCATACTTAATTTCTTCTAGCTCGAACAGAACTATTCTGGAGTAGCTGGTGTTTGGCTGAGCCTTTTCTCTGTCTCCTGCTTCATTCTAGCCTTGCCTCCCCCTCCCAGCACCCTCCATGCTGGCTGCCCAACCACCAGTTCTTACTGATTGACCTTGCTGGCTGAATTCAACTGTGGACTTTCATCAAGCAGAACAGCTATGGCCTTCTTTTTTTTGGTCTTTGCAGCCTATTGAAGCCCAAATATTTTTTCCCCCAGAGTGATTTATTTAAAAATATAGATCATATCATGCTCTTGCTTAAAATCTTCAGATGGCTTCTAACTGCCATCAGAAATAAAATAAAATCCCAGGGCACCTGGGTGGCTTCGTCGGTTAAGCATCCAACTTCAGCTCAGGTCATGATCTCATGGTTCATGTGTTTCAGCCCTGTGTCAGGCTCTGTGCTGATAGCTCAAAGCCTGGAGCCTACTAAGGATTCTGTGTCTCCCTCTCTCTCTGCCCCTCCCCCACTCATTCTATGTATCTCTCTCTCTCTCTCTAAGAATAAACATTAAAAAAAAAAGTAAAATAAAATCCAAACTCCTAATGTTGAGGGGGTCCTGCCAACCCGCACCCACCCATCAGCTCATAGCAGCTACAGCCACCTCCCTGGCAGTCTGCTGATGTACTCCACTTGGTCCCATCTAAGGACATATACCTGAACTGCTCCTCTGCTTGGATGCCCCTCCTGCTTGGGGTCTAGCATGTCCCCTAGCACACAGGGAAACACATGGGTGCCCTTTTATGACACTCCCATTGACTGGAGGTGCTACAGGCATTCAGCCCAACACTGCATAGGACAGTCCCACCACATGAGCACCTCTCTTCCAAAAAGCCAACCTGGCCTCCACTGGGGGGGGGAAGGGGGGGGGTCAGAACCAGACTTCCATGGCTGTCATTGGTGTCTGCTCCCATGCCATCTCTTCAGAGTGGTCCCCAACCATCCCCACCACGTGCCATCCATCTCTTCTTGAGAGTGAGCATTTCTCATCACCTGAGGTCATATATCTTGTTATTGTCTCCACTGCCAGAACGTAAGGCCCAGGAGGGCCCATCTTAGAGTCTTCCTAGAACAATGAATGCCATGATACATGACAGGTGCTCAGTAAGTATCTGCCCAGTGACTGAATAAATGAATAAATGAACATCCTTTCTGAGATTATGTGAACACCTCTCAAATGTACCTTAAAACAATTCCCAAAACAAACACAATATACAAATACAGTGTAGGGAATATATTTAAAAAAATCAATTTTTCTATTGATTGATTTTAGCTGTTAATCTTCTGAAAAAAATTTGTACATTCAGTTTCTCAAAGTTTAGATGGAGCCCTAGGTTCAGTGGTTCCAAATGAACATGGGGGCTCTCTGTGTTCTGTGAGCACAGTCTCTCCCTGAATTAGCTACTTGAACACCCATGGAAGGAGAAAGTTCAGAAAGTGCATGTGGCAATGACAGACATCCATCACTGACCTGCTCTTTCAGCTCAGCTACTTTCTCTTGGAGGAGCATGTCCACGTTCTTCAGAGCCCTTCCCACCTCTTCCACCCGCTCCTCAGTGTCTTTCAGCTCCTTTTCATGTTCTTCCTGTCACAAAAGGTTACAGACCAATAATTTACATTTCTAAAAGAATCATCTCAGGCTTATTTACTTCAGAGTGGAAATTAGCTAAAATGTACATATCTGAGAGCAAAGGGAGAGCCTTTCATCTGCACAGAGTAACAGACACACAATGTTCTGCCACAGGTCACAAAGCTGACACTGCTCTTTGTAGTTCAAGAATTAGCAGACTGTTTTCCTGGGCATTTAATCATAAATTACTCCAAAGTGAGTTTCCCCAAATGTGTTACTGAGTATTTTTAAAGGATTTCTGATTAAATTTCTTTGTTTTGTCAATATTCTATCACGGGTGAACTTATTTCCTGCTTAACATTTTTGCACAATGCGGATAGGTTATTCTTCATTAGGATTTATGCTTCACAAACATCAAATCTTACCGACCTTTTGAGTCTTGCTCCAATTTCTTCCTCATGGAAGCACCCTCTTGTCCTCAGGCTCCTATCTCCACACCCTCCCACCCCGACATTTCCCAATGAACTACACTGTGGCATTTGAGGATGTAGGTGTTTTCTCAGCCTTTTATTTTTTTAATTATTTTTTAATGTTTATTTATTTTTCAGAGAGAGAGACAGAATGTGAATGGGTGAAGGACAGAGGGTGAGGGAGAAACAGGATTTGAAGCAGGCTCCAGGCTGAGCTGTCAGCACAGAGCCTGATGCAGGGCTCAAACTCACAAACCATGAGATCATGACCTGAGCTGAAGTCAGACGCTTAACTGACGGAGCCACCCAGGTGCCCCCCCCAGCCTTTTAAATTAAACACTTAAGTAGGGTACACACATGCCAAACTATTCAAGCATTTTAAAAGTGCCAATTCTGATGCCTCACACTGATGCTTTTAGTGGGAACCACTGGCACCCAACTTTTACAGATGAGGAAGCTGAAGCAGAGAAGTTAAGTAACTGGCCAAAGTCACTCAGCTAGGAGATGGTGAAGCCTGGATCCCAATCTCTGCAGTCCATGCCCTGAGCCACAGTATCCTGCTCTTTAAGGCAACAACTCTGTTTCTATGTCTCTAGATGCCTAATGCAGTGCCTGATGCACAGCCAGGGTCCCCAAGTGTGTGCCACCACCTCACTGGCCTTTTGTCCCACCATCTTCCTCTTGCTTCCCTCTCATCCTTGCTATCCTTAAATAAGGCCATTACCACCTCAGGGCCTTTGCATATACTGCTCCTGCTACTTGTAGCACTCTCTCCAGATTAAGTGAATGGCTTGTTCTCTCAACTCCAGCACATCTTGGCTCAAGTAACACGTTGGTGAGGCCTTCTCTGGCCACCATCCCGCTCCAGAGCACTCATCAACTCATCACCATCTGACATGCTATCCTCATGACTCATGTTTTCATTTGTCTCCCCACCACACCAGAATATAGGCTCCAGGAGGGCACAGGCTTTTGCCATGTGTGTCTGTTTCTGTATCTCCCCTACCTAGATCAGTGTGCACCCAAATAAATAACTTCTGCAGTCTTTGTGTGCCTGTGGGTAGATTTTTTTCAGTCTGCAAAATGGTTTCAGATTCTTTTTAAATTAGATGCATCATTTGGAAACTGGGAATGTTTCTGTAAAAATCTAGTTTCTGGCTTTCCTTTGAAATCAGGAGAATTGGCACACAGGGCCTGTGATTCCACAGGACTACATGGGTGGGACCGCCACCCACAGCTTCCCTCATGGCCTCTGTATCACCACATTTCTGGCCCTGTAAGCAGTTTTGAGTGTGTGGTCCCTAACATTTAGCCATGTGGCCTACCACAGACATGTGCAGCCCCCAAAGACAACCTGTCTGGGTGGACCTGTTGCCCCCATGTTGAAGAGGCCTTTTGGGTCAGCTGGCTTATCACTCTGAGGGGGTGGGAGATGCCTTCTCCAAGAGGTTTGCCACCCCTCCCTGATCCATCTTTGGCCCCTGTTAGAATCCCACATTGTTCACAGTGAAAATCAGGGGCCTGCAGCTGTGGTATAACCAGACTTCTACGAATTGGGATGGCAGTTTTTGGCTGAGTGATCAGTGATCCAATCTCGCCACCCCTGGCACCATCAGCTGGGCCTCAGGGCCCTTGTCTCCACTCACCCACTGTGTTTCCAGCCGCCTCCCCTTCTCCTTCTGGAGAATGCACTCATCACGGAGCTGCTGAGTGGCCTGCCGCTCCTCTTCCAGTAGCTGCTGCAGCTCGGTCATGTGGTCCTGAGGCACCAGCCACTGCATCTGCTCCTGCAGCTGGTGGACCTCCTCCGAGTGCTGGGACTGTGCCAGCCTTAGCCTCAGGTTGGCTCCATGCAGCTGCACCGGGGAGAAGGCCATGATAGTGCTGGTGTGATTGCTGAGAGCTATGGGGTCATTACTAGACATGCAAAACTCCATGCTTACAGATACCCTACAAATGGAAGGGCACACAAGGCATCCTTATTCCTTGGTCCATGCATCTGCAGCTACATGTAAGGTTCATAAAGAACCTATTCATTTGTATTCTGACAGCCAAACTCTGGTTTAGCCAGAGTTTCTACACAGAGAGAGTCAAGAAGACTCAGGTCTGTAGCCTCAAAGTGGTGACACTGAGGTTTCCTGCTGCATCCATGGGAGAATCATGCCATACTCTGTCCAGTTTACATTTCAGCAAACTTCATGGAGTCTGTTTAACAATTATAATCCATGCAGGCCTTGCATGGTGATTTTCCTTTAGGCAGAGAGCTCATACTCCTTAGGCAGCTGAGACCAGGGCCACAGAGAGCAATGGAGCATATGATGAAGGCCAAAGGGACCCTGGCAGCAGGTGCAGAACTACCCCAGCCCCTGGCTCCCCAACCACAGTGGATGGCAAGATTTCACTGGAGTTGTGGGTAACTTGGCCAATCCTTTTATTAAACACCATTTAAATCACTTTGATTCTAGAGGCTTCACCAAGAATATACAGAATTTCCTTGGCACCCTACAAGAACTTGGTATGTCAGCCCTCACACACCTCTGAGGCCCCATAGATGGGAGAGGGAGGTACCTCCATCAAGAGTCACACTTAGGATAGGTCTGAGGTGACCATGTGATTAGAGACAGGGAGGATGCCAGCTATGGCTACTCAAGGGCAACAATGAGGCTTTAGATCTCAGGTCGTTGTATCCCCATGCATCTCTGAGGGGCTGTCTTAGGGGGCCATGTCATCACCATCATGTGTGGCTGTTCTTAGGACAGGAGTCATCCCAGAGAAACACACCTGCACACAGTTTCCAGGACAGCTACTATGCTCTTTTGGAGGAGTGAAATATAATGACTTCTAAAATCAGATGACCAAAATATATTTTTCAGAGATATCTGGTCTTCATCCACAGATTCTAAAAATGCTTCAGAGCCACAGACGTGAAATAGATGTCTCAATATTAATGAAGGTGATTTTTGAAGTGCACCCAAGGGGAGGGGCTGGCTGCCAGGAGGGTCAACCACGTGATCAAGGATTGGAATTTTCAGTCCTATCCCCCAACCTCCCAGGAGGGGAGAGGGGCTGAAGGTTGAGTCAGCCAGTGGCCAATGACTTAGTCATGACTATATAATGAAACCTCCATAAAAACCCAAGAGCCAGCTGTTTGGTCCCTGTTTTGGAGAGCTTCTATGCTTGAGGAGGAACACTTCCATGCACCCCCAGGCTGGGGCTCAAGCTCCCTGAGGACAGATATTTGGGACCTCACCCGATGTATCTCTTCCTCTGGCTATTGATTTGTTTCCTTTAACATATCCTTTAATGAACTGCTAAATGTTAAGTGTTTCCCTGAGTTCTGTGAGCCACTCTAGCAAATTAGTCAAACCTCAGGAGGAGGAGGTTGAAACATCCAATCTGTAGCTGGCTGGTCAGAAACACAGCTAATAGCCTGGGGGGTATGACTGGCTTCTGAGATGGGGGTAGGGAGTAGTGTTGTAGGACTACACCCTTAACCCTTAACCTGTGGGGTCTGATGCTGTCTCCAGGCAGATAGTATAAGAATGGAGTTGAATTCTCAGACACCCTGTTGGTGTCTGATAATTGCACGCTGGAACTGGGTCTGGGAACCTTGAGAAAGAGGGACAGAGAAGGGAGAGAGGAGAACCAGTTCTAAAACACAGCCCCCACAAAAGTAGCCCCCTCCCGACTTTCATGCTTCAGTCATCCTGCAGACACCCCAGATGGAAGTTGAGTCCCAGCCCAGGCCCTTGTGACTCCATGTCAGAATGCCCACCCACTCCAAAGCTGTTCCTGCTCTCTGACAGCACTCCCCAACACCTTGATGCCCTCTTCCTTAGAACACACTGTTCCCATGCCCCTTGCTGCTAACTGCTACAGCTATCTCTCTGCTCTGAACACAGATGCCTGGTGCAAGCTCCTGGGAGGAGGCCACTGTGTGGCCCAGTGTGAGTTCTGTGTCTGTGGTCCTACCCTGTGGTTCTCTGAGCAAGGCAAACAGCCCATAACACCGTCTCAGCTGAATTCCTCCCAAGCCCTCCTCATCTCCCTCCCTGCAGAACTGAGACTGGCTAGAGCCTGGGCCAACTCTGGAGACCCCTGCCCAACTATCACTTGACAAGGGAAAGATGTCCCCAGAGACCACTGGGGCAGCCCATGCCAGGAAAAGAGGGCCATTGTGTTCTGGGATCAGGGGCATGGCAGTGAGCCACCTCAGCCATCGGCTACTCCCACCTGAGCTCACAGGCTGCTGTTCCTGCCCCCTGAGGGATGGGAGCTGTGCTCTCCTTGCATTGAGAGGTGAGGACTGTGTCCTCCCCTGATGGACAGGTGGGTTCTGTGCCCTCCCTTTGAATCCAAGCTGGACCAACAAAATGTCAGGGGAGTGATGTTCTGGAATGCCCTGACACAGTCTTAAGAAGCCTGGCAGCTTCTATCTGCTCCTCTAAGGGTGCTTGGTCACCTATCCTCTCAGAACTTCACTGCTATGCTCAGACAGCCTCATGCCACCAAGAGGCCAGGTGTGGGTGCTCCAGCTGAGAGCACCAGTGGGCCCCCAGCCACCAGCCAACACCACATGCCAGCCCTGTGACCTGAGGTCTCTCAAACATCTGATCCAGCTGTGCCTTCAGATGATGCTAGCCCTAACCTCATTTGATTGCAATGGCCCCCTGAGATCTCAAGTGAAAACAGCCCAGCTGCGCTGGCGAGCCCACAGACCATGAAGGATAATGATGAACAGTGCTAGAAGCTACCAAGTTTGAGGGTGGTTTGACGTACTGCAACACAGAACCAAGATGGTCATTCCCAAGGGCATGTGATGCTTACAGCATTGTGCTCCCGTGCACCACACCTTCTGAGCTGTGCAAAGTCCCTCTGCCAGGACCTCTCATGGCCCCACCCAAGCTGCCCCCCTGCTCATACCTGTCCAACCTGCTCTCTTTGACCTCCAGGGCGCTCCTCCTTAAAATCACCCACAACTGTGCCAGTGACAACACTGGCTCCTCCCGAGTGGTCCCGCGCCCACTCTACCATGGCTCCTCTAGAAGATCCTTAAGTACCCACAGGCTCCTCTTATTTCCCTCATGTGAACTCCCATCAATGTGGTTTTGGGGGTTCCTCTTCTAAATAACAAGGGGGAACCATCTCACATCACAGGAGAACTGCTTAAGTAAGGTCCCTTCTGACCATGACAATGGCTGAATGCTGACTCCTGGACTCAAAGGGCTCAAGCTGGTCAAGGCAATTTCTCAAGGTTCCTTTCAGACTTAAAAACAGAGAAGGGAACCCCCAAATACTCAGAGGCACCTCTGGGAGAGCGCTTGTTTGCAGCGGGATGGCTGAAAGCCCACATGAGCCCCCAATAGCACGTCATAAAGCCCTGGGTATGTAGGGGGACCCCACAGCCAAGTCCAGCTGTGGCATCTGGGGCCAGTCAGGGAGTCTGTGAAGTTGCTCAGAGGAGGGAGGCATGCCAGTGCCACACTCAAGTGAGGGCCCTGGGCCACAGGCCAGTGAGTTAGAAACCTCTTCCACACTGCTTGGGAGGCTTCTCCCATGACCCCTCTTTTCTATCTACAGCCCCCAGCCCTCTAAGCGCAACGCACATCTGAGTCCACATTAGGCCATCACACACCTGCCATTCTCTCATCCTGCTCCCCCAGGAAGAACCAGCTCCCCCTCTCTCATGTCTCTGCACACCATGCTGTCAGGGCATCCTGACATCCCTGCTTGGCCTGTCCTGCTCTCATCTGCTTGTCCCAAACTGCAAGCTCTCCACTTTCCTACCTCTGTACCTTTAGAGCCTGGTGCACTAGTAAATGCTGGAGCAGGAGACAAAGTGGGAGGCAGGAGCTTGACACCCACATGTGTATGCAATTTCAGGGCTTCTGTGCACACATAAGCCTGTGTGAGGGCAAGACGGGCACACTGAGCTTGCTAACCCAAGGGACTACTCCACCTCATGTCCTTGGATCTGACGACACTCCCCCCTCCTCAGAGGCTACCCACAGCTCTCCTTTGTTCTTCTGTTCTGCAGATGGTGCAGCCAAAAGCACTGCTTGTCAGCCTCCTTCCCTTGTGCATAAACAGAAGCTCTGCCCATGGACTGCTCAGGGTCAACCAACCCTGGACTAGGCTCAACTTCAGTCTCAGGCCTGGTAAGTGCCCACCAGCTGTGTAACCTCAGGGCAGCCCAATAACCTCTCTGGCCAGACCAGTCCTGACAAGGCTCTGTCAATGCTAAACTGTGTTGACTTTCCTCCCAGCTGAGACCCAGCCATTGGCCATCATGCACACCCACCTGATTTTGACTTTCTTCAAGGGTCTCTCTCAGCTGTGACTGTGACAGTCTCAGGCTCTGACATTCCTGATTCATGTGTTCAAGTTCAAGTTCAAGTTTTTGGATTAGCTCACTCTGTTTAAAAAAAATAATTTCACAAGTACAAGAATATCTCAGCAGTCTGATGCATATTTATTTATTTATTTTAAGTTTATTTATTTTGAGAGAGAGAGTGTGTGAGCAAGCAGGAAGTGGGGGAGGGAGACGGGGGAGGGAGGGAGGTGAAGAGAGAGAGATTGAGAGAGAGAATATCCCAAGCAGGTCCCATGCTATCAGCAAGGGAACCCAACGGGGGCTCCATCTCATGAACTATGAGATCATGACCTGAGCCAAAATCCAGAGTCAGACACTTAACTAACTGAGCCACCCAGGCACGCCATCAGTCTGATACATGTTTAATGCAGAAACTTCAGAAATTTATAGAAAAGCAAAAATGACAAAATTTAAACCACCATGATCCCAACATTGTGCCGTGATCTCAGCCCTTCTTCCACACATGTGTTTCTATCAATAACACTGGTACAGCATTATATGCTGTGCTTTCCTCATTATATCTTGAGCATTCCCCCATAACATTAAATATTATTGGAAAACATGATTTTTAATGACTGTACCATAATTTACTGACTCATTCAGTATTATTGATGATTCAAGCTGATTCCAATTCTGTTTTGCTATTATAAATACCACAGCAATGAAAACACTTCCAGCTAAGTCTGCCCACGATGCTCAGATAAAATTCCCATAAGTAGAATTATAAAGTCAGAGCATACTGACATTCTTGAGGCACTTGACACATATTTTGCCCAAATGTCCTCCAAAGAGGTCTACCAATTTATTCTCTTAGCATCAGGATTTAATCCCTTTCTGCTACTTTTTTTTAGATATTGAGAATTTGCAAGGCTGCTGAAGCCTACAAATTTTCCAGAGCACATACTTGTTAAGTTCCCCTCTTTACCTGAGGGGTGAGCCTACCTCCAGGCATTTTAAGGCTGTTGCTGATGTTTTTAGACCACTCACCTGCAGCTCCTCCTGGTGCCTGGCCTCCTCCAGTCTCTGTGTTAACAGCTGAATGTTGATGAGGTTCTTCTCGTCTTGGGCCTGGTGGACAGAGGCCTCCTCTCCTAGCTGAAGGATCTTGTGATTGAGCCGGGACACTTCATCCTTGCATTTCTGACTCTGGAGCATAACGGGTTAAAATACAGATGCCAAAGTTACTTTTTTTAAACCAGGAGCTTAATTCATATCATTCCAGTGATTCCCAATCAGGACCCATTTTGTTCCCCAAGGAACATCTGGCAATGTCTGGAGATACTGCTGGTTATCAGAACTGGGAAGGGGACGGCTAAGGCATCTCACGGTGGAGGCACTCAGCATCCTCCAGCGCAGGACTGATCCCACCCCAAATGGCCACAGTACTAAGGATGTGAAAACGTGCTCTACTCCCTTGAGGAAATGAGACATATCTCAACTGCCAGAGGTGGCTACATCATGAACATCCAAACCACTGCTCTGAAGATCTTCCATATTTTTCTTATTCCTTTCATGGTTATGTCCAATTATTATTTTAAGTAGTCTGAAAGAAAACACCTTGTTAAATTTGAAGTATATGAATCTCCTCAAAGTAGGCTCAGGTCATGATCTGATCTTTTGTCATTAAACACCTAAACATATCTTTCAGCAGGGTGCAGGTGGTGATTAAATTGTATATTCTGCTTTTATCCAGTATCTACTGCCCAACAGATGGTGGATGCACAACAGATGCCCACTGGGTGGCTAAGTGAATGCCCCATGAGCTGGAACAGCAACTAGAACACTGCCCCTACAGTCTCTCCCCATGGAAATGCCAGTTACTTTAAACTATATGTTGTGAATATCTTCATATAAATCACATTTCTGCTTATTTGCTTTTTTTCCACAGCAGTCCATTCTCAAGGCCGACTGTCAGTGGCTCCAAGTGTTGGCAGAGTGGGGTTCTCTGAACCTGTTTTCAGCACTACTGGCAACGCACACACACCACTCTCCCCAGGGCTGTGCTAACAACCATTTCATTTCTATGTTTTTGAAGATTTGAGAAGCAGATGATGGAACCTTGCTTGAAGTTGTTCTGATTTGGATTATTTAAGCTTAGTGAGTTTACACATTTTTCTCGTGATGATTGCTCCTTCTGTTCTCTGTAAACAGACTATTACCTCATCCTGTGCTTAAAACCTCAAAACTGAGGGTAAAGAGGTATTTTCAACACATCGTAAGTTCATGGTTGTTGTGTCTGGTATGGAAATCTCTTGTGTTTATTACATTTTATTGTGAAAATTAAAGTTATTTTTCAATATTGGCATTCATCTTATTCTCTGAGGATAGCGTTGATTTTTTTTCATAATGGTATGTTTTATGATTTTTTAAACTCTAATTCCAGTAGAGTTAACATGCACTGTTACATTACTTCAGCCTTGATTTTTTTAGCAGCCAGAAACAGAATCTTCCTTCAGCTAATTTTTTTGGTTACTTTTAATATTTAGTCTTTGGAAATAATTTCAAACTCATATAACAGATGCAAAGCTATTACAGAGAACATCCATGTGCCCTTCACCCAGACTTACCAGCTGGCAACATTTCCCCGTGTGCTTTGTGGCTGGCTGGTACTCTCTGCACGTATGTGCACACATGTGTGTACACACACACACACACACACACACACACACACACACACACACACGAGACGGTTTTCTGAGCCATGACCCTGTGTTACATGTTTCCTAAGGAGGTGAGCGTGTTCTCACATGGCTGCCATGCAGCTCTGGCTTCAGGACAAGAATCACACCACCTGCATCCTAGTCTTGTCAACTGGCCCAGTTATGACCCTTGGAGCACCCCTTCTGGTCCAGCTTAGGCAACGCCTTTATCTGTCAGGCTGTTTTAGCCTCCCTGAATGTGAGATGTTTCCATAGCCTGTCATATATTAACACTGAAAATTCTGACAGATACAGTACCTCCCCACCTTTCCCCTTCAACAGTTCCTCATTTGGGGACTGCCTGATGCTCTCTGTGACTAAGCTCAGGAGATGCCTGTGACCAGAACTCCACTCAGGTGCCACTATGTCCCCCTCAGGGCATCCCACTGAGACAGTGGGGCGCCCACTGTCTCTTGGTGTCTGTGTCCATCACCTCCTTAATTCTTTCTTTTCCCCAAAGTTAGTTTATTTATTCTGGGGGGCGGGGGAACAGAGCATGAGCAGGGGAGGGGCAGAGAAAGAGGGAGAGAGAATGCCACGCAGGCTATGTGCTGTCAGCATGGAGCCTGACATGGGGCTCAAATTCATGAACCATGAGATCATGACCTGAGCCAAAATCAAGAGTTGGATGCTTAACTGACTGAGCTATCACCTTAATTCCAACTTGTATTCACCTTAGTTTTATTGCAGAAGACAAAAGCAGTCATATCCTGATCAAATTTTAAAATAAGTGGATGTCTGTGCTAAATATGCTTACTCTGGATGTGATTATGCCTTTAGGCCTAGTTTCCAGTTTATAAGATACACAAGGGACAGAGAAGCAGACTGAATGACACTATCAGGAAACAGCTGGACAGATCCAGAATGGGGGATGGCCTACAAGACAACTGCCAGATCTCTTAAAAACAGACAGCCTTGGGGGTGAATCAGCTATTCCAGGTTAAAAAGACTAAAGACACATTGCAGCAAGCAGACCATATTTTCCAAAGACAGCCTCAATGGCATCTCTCATCCCACATCCCCTTCTGTAGTATGACCTGGACACTCACCCTCCCAGATGAGCCTATATCCCTCCCTGTGCCTTGGGGGGGTCTGGGTGGAGGTGATATGGAGAGATTTCTGAGATGAGAAGCCTTGTGCCTGCCTTGTGGTCCTGCTGGACCACTCGCTACCTGAATGCCTCTTTGTGACACTCCCTCCCAGGCCCATGGAGAGGAGCCCCCAGATGGTTCCAGCCCTATCCTTTGGGTCACCCCAGCTGTCCAATCTTCCCATACCAGTGACATGGAGAAGAGGCAGGCCATCTGCCCTGTACCCTGTCTGGAACCCCTGACCCACAGGTTCTGTGAGCACAATAAAGTGGCTGTTTTCTGCCACCAGAACAGCATTGACAGTTCAACGCATCATCCTCAGCTGGATCCTAGTTCCAAAAAATTTACCATCTAAGACATTTTGGAATAATTATAGAAAGATGTAAATATGGTCTGAATATTGGACAGCATTAAGTAATTACAATTAAGTGTCTCAGGTGTTACAGCAGTACTGTGGTTAGGCAGAAGATGCATTCATTTTTACAAGATGCCTGCGAAATATTTAGGAGCAGAGTATCACTGTATCTGTCACTTACTTTCAAAAGGTTTGAAAACACACACACATACACATAGTACAGAGAGATACAAAGAAAGGTATAAATAAATAATAAAGCACAAAGTTAAAAACTGCCAAATTAAGGGGGCACCTGTATGGCTTAGTAGGTTAAGCATCCGACTTCGGCTCGGGTCATGATCTCTCGGTCCCTGAGTTCCAGCCTCACATCGGGCTCTGTGTTAACAACTCAGAGCCTGGAGCCTGCTTTGGATTCTGTGTCTCCCTCTCTCTCTGCCCCTCCCTTGTTCTCATTCTCTCTCTCTCTCTCTCTCAAAATAATAAATAAGCATTAAAAAAAAAAAAACCTTGTCAAATTAAGGTTGTGGTATGTGGGTGATCAGTATATATTATGCCAAATTTTCTGTGCCGTTACAGTTTTTCATACTAAAAAGTTGAGGGAAAGAAAACAAATGGATACCTATAATCCATTTATAAGTGTGTCCTAGGAATAAGCCCAAAAGAGGAAGGGGGCCCCAGGAAAGCCCCAGGTGGGTCATTTCACAAGAAGCTGGTCTGCAAGCAAGTACAGTCGGAAGTTTTCATCTTACATAACTCCAGGAATTGGCCACCTAATGGAGAAGACCCAAAGCAAGGTCACCACACACTCATCACAGAAACAAACACCCAAAGCTGGGAGCCCAGACAACCCACCAGTAGTCTCAGGCAGTCCCCATAGCAGAACATTCGGTGACCACACATGGGTAGAGGTGGCACCAAGAGAGAGGAGGTGTGGCACTTAACTCAAGGATGGCACAGGCTTGAGAAGCCAAACATGGCAACCCACCCCTCCAGAACTAATGAGTGAGTTCAGCAAGGTGGCAGGAGGACCCATTGAATTTCTGTGAACATACAGTGAACATACACAAACCCAAATTAAAAACACAATAAAATCCTGAAACCAATATTGTATTGTATGTAAACTTATTAGAATTTAAATAAAAATCAATCAGAGCTGCCAGTCAATACGGCAGAGAAGTAGGGGGACCCGAAGTTCCCTCTTCCCTCAAACACAGCAGTGTTGAGGCCAGAGGACTTGAAATTCTAAGAGTCCAGGCTGCAGAGCAACAGATTCATTTCCAGGGGCCCACAGGGACAACTTGGTGGGCCACAGGTGCATGATTACGAACCAGGAGAGATAAAACGGGCGGCATAAGAACAGAGAGGAGGAATCCCCTCCTGTGGAGAAATAAAAGGAAGAGAAAGAGAGGCTGTGGAAGTGTGGGATTGTATTTTGACAAGAGAAAAACCATGGGCTGGGGACTGGAAAAAAAACAGAGAAAGATCCAATTTCTTTCTTTCTTTTTTTTTTTTTTTTTTTTTTTTTTTTTTTTTTGTCTTTGTGAAGACTTTATTTCTCTCATATAATCTCTATGTAATAATCATTAGCCAACCTTTTAAATACATTGCAAATCTATCTTTTGCTAGTTCTAATTTTTATATAAACAATTTTATTTTTTCCTTAAATTCCCATAGATTTTATTTTCTTCTTATGGTGCCCCACAATCTCCATTTGCCCATACTTAAGTGAATAAATATTTGTTTTAGTAGTAGATAATGTGCACAAACCCAAAACCCAGATCTTTAATGTAGCTCTCCACAGAAAATTTTTCCTCTGATCTTAAGAGCTTTTCCAATCTCAAAACTGTTGACTATCATTCCAGAATGCAGTGGTCCATGGCTTATTCCTGACAAACAGGTAGTATCTGCCCAGTTTTCCTTTAGGTACCTCCCAACTTTGGGAGGGTGGTAGTATCCAATTTCTAACAGCAGCTAGATTGGAGCCAGCTTCTCTGGATTGGA